TTTGCTAATTGTAGTTGCGGTGTTGGAGCTGGTTGTTTGCTCTGCTTCAACTCACGACAAATCGTACATGGTGTGGAGCAATTCCATGCATCACTACCAGTAGTGCCATATTTTTGCTGCTGCAATATCCATTTAGAACCTTCTCTTGGAAATGGGATGAGGTGCGAATGCTAATATATTGGAATTTCCAGCGGTTTTATAAGAAGTATATTAAGAATGAGGAAAAAGAAATTTAGAATTTAACTGGGATGCATCAGTATTAAATTTAATATTTTGATACGCGTTTGTAATAAACCGTTATTTTTCCCAGTAAAAAATCATATAAACCTCACAGGAAGAATTTTCTGGCGTATGCATATGCTGAACTAATTACGAGAGCCTAAATCTTCGAAAATCAAATGTTCACTCGACTGCAAATTTCAAATATGCTATGCCAAATAAAGCAAGAAATTTTTAAAAACCTTCCTATCTCCACTTTTTTGTTTGGCCAGCTTAATACTTTATAATATCACATGACATGAATCGCCATGAATCATCGAAATCTCTATTCAGTATCATGCCAAAACAGCTGCTGGTTTAGAAGACGGCCAAGGTAAGTTACAACTGACAAGGTAAGAATTACGGATGCAGTATGCATTATTTACACATGAAAAGGAGAACTATCATATAATGAACTGAAAAAAAAGCAACCTCTTGGACCGTTTTGATCTGTTGCTGACCGGAGCTGAAAGATAGTAAAATAGTCCTTTTAGAAATCAGCATCCTGTTTGGTAAATTACTGGGAACTAATTATTGGAAGCTCAAGTTTTCACAATGTAGAAAAGATAAAATAAGGACTCGAGAAAAGTTCATTCCAGCAAATCCAAATTTCGCATGAAATAAATATAAAAAAATCTACCGCGTTAAGTTCAATTTGAAGTTGCTGACATTTGATGGCGTGCTCGGATAATGAAAATTGCGTTACTTGAAGCAGATCTTCCAGCTCTTTAATTTTTAACTCTGGTCCTTCCTTTTTTTCAGAAGCACTCTAAAAATGGAAAATGTTTCAGACTTCATTCTGCTGGTATAAGAATTGGAAATAAAATTTTCTAAGAGCAGTACCAATTTTGAAAATGTCTTAAAATTAACCAGAGCTTATAAAAATTAAAACCATAAGAAAATCATAGAGGAAGATAAACTGACTTAAAACTAATGAAAAGAACCTGTTGTATTTTCATTTCTAAAGCTGCTTTATCACTCCTTTTATTCCACAAATCGTTTTTTAGAGCAGTGTTTTCAGATTTCTTTTCTAAAAATTTCTTGTTGACAGCGTCAACAATCACTGACAGCGATAGGCCTTGTGTTTGTGAGATGTTTTCCTGAAAAGTATATGCGAAACAGTAGGAAGTATGTGGCATGTGAATTACGTTTCTTGAAATCAAGATGCCCAAGATCAGAAACATGAACCACTTTTATGGAAGATAACAAATTTGAGACGGATCCTAAAAATCTTTTATGCAATTGCTCAATATCGATTTACAGAAATTTGAATTAACTAAAACTTTTATTTGCTAAACAGCAATTGGAATAATTTGAGTAGGTCAACTGAAATGGTATTTCAATAAACATCTAGGAAATATTTATGAAGCATTTAAAAAAAAAATGAAAAAAAAAGAAATGGGAAATATTTTGAAAGCTAAGGGGAACGTAACAGAAACAGAAACAATTCGGTTTGCTGTTCAGAAACTTACTACCGGTACGCCATTCATAAGCTGCTGCACTGCTACGGCAATTTCGACATCTTTCAATTCCTTCTCTTTAAACCATTTGACGATGACTTCCTCTGCATATGAATGAACTTCTTTCAGAGATTTGTGTAGCTGAGCCTGGACTGCCGGTACACTGTCCACAATGACGTCCTTCAGAGAATAACTTTCATTTTAATTTTCTAGCTTTGAGAAATTTAGAAAGTTGGGAAAAACCGCACTTTACAATAAAAGTCGTCAGATCAAAGAAAATAATACAAAGGCGCATTGAACGTTTATCTTCAAAATATGTTTTTTTCCTTTTCTAAATTCAGTATTCAGTTCATTTGGAAATATGTAAAATGAACAATCAATTCTAAAAGATGCACCTTAAACAATTTCAAATTCATTTCTCGCAAATCTCTCACATTCTTCAGAGTTACGTAAAGATACTCCCGCAATAAATTCCGAACATGCTGAAATTCCACCCCTTGCCTCTTCAATTCTGTTTTCTGCTGTGCGAGTTCGCTTTTCAAATACTGAATCTTTTCAGCAAATTCCTTAAATGTTTTGTCTTCGTAAAGCACAGATATCTGATACAGTTCAACTCGTTTAAAACAAAATCAACACACTTTCTATTCAACTCCGGTTGGGATTAATTTTAATTCGTTATATCTTATCTTTTTTCCATGCCGGTTATCACACCAATCAAAGGAACCGAAACAAACTGGAAAAGTTATTAAATAGAGAGTAAAACTTTTTTTTTTGTTTTTCTAAACAAAATAAACGAAAAAAAAAGCAAAAACAAAAACAAAAAGAAATGAAAAAACAAAAAAAAAAACAAAAAATTATTTCTGGAATACAATCCTGAACATTACCTCGCTAGTTTTGAAAGTATTGCTATCCATTATTGTCTGCGTATTGCTGTCAATTTTACATGTATTAAATTGTGCATACAAAGCATTATAAGCTTGCTGCAACTGCTGATAGTACTCCGATAGTTTCGCATACGCATTTTCTAGTTCTATGCGACTATTTTCCATTTGTGCACTTTTTTCCTGCCATTCAACCAAACGAAGATTGCTTTCATTTTCTGCTAAAGCTGCCTAAACCAAAAAATTTTTCAAGATTCAAAAAAATGATGTCTCAATTTACGACCTGTACCTGTCGTTGGCTTTTTTCGGCCATATCCTTTTGCTCCTCCAAGTCACGTTCTCGTTCACGAGCACGTTCAATTTCTTCCTCATGACGTTGTGAAAGCTCGCATAATTTGTCTGACAAGTCCTCTCGATCAACCAATGACTTGAAATTACCCAAACATCAGAATTTTCATTAGAAATCAAAAATTTATGTAAATTCATACCAACCATTATTCCAGCTAATTTGGCTTAACTTTGATTTTCTACCATTCTAATTGTAAATTAAAAACCTAGTGAAACTTCTTAGTAGAGTCTTGACGCTTGATGACAAAAAATTTACCCCTTTTAGTTGTTCATTTAGGGTCCAGATTTCACCTTTAAGGACCTCGACAGCAGTTTCCAGTTCCGCATTCAGAATCATTAGTTGTCTAACATCATCTGTTAAATTCTCATGCATTTGATTTGATTTGTTGACACATTGGCAAACTTCCTGATTTTCTGATTCAAGAACAGAATTATCATTATGAATGACTTTCTGGAACGAAAAAATGGAAATTTAAATGTAACACCAAAAACTGTAATGAAGTATAGAAGCTAAACTTCCGCTTTGTTTTTTTTTTTTAGTCCTGCTTTTAATCCGTTTCATTATGTTTGTTGATGACAATAACCTCGCCATAAAAGTTGTGTTTCTCAACATTTAATAAAAAATAAAATTGGGAACACAATTTTAAAAAGAAAAATATTGAAAACTTTCCATGAATTTTCATGACTAATTGTTGGTGGTTTAGTGCAATGTATCACTGATAGCGGAAAGAAAAAACTGTTTTGAAAAAAGCAAAAGCTCTTTGAAAGAAATTCATAATATTGATTTCCAAACTACTTAATATAACGTTGGCTAAATTATCAAAGCTCAACGCTTAATTTTTGCACTATAAAACACCTTTTAATTTTATTGCAAACTATAAAGGGTTTCTATGTTTCGAGATTTTTCGAATCAGAAAGAAATCTCTGAAGCATCAAGAAAGACCAACCCCCGAAGTTAATTTTTGCCTTGTTTCTAGAGTCTCAGAAAGATGAAAGTCAGTTCCTGTTTGTATTTGGTGATGTCGCATAATTAGAATTGGACCACTATCAGCTGAAAAAAAAAAGAACTAAACATAAACTAAAAGCAATAAAACACGTTTTATATCATACGTATCATACGTTTAGAAAATCATTCTTTCAAGACTGTACAACAGAGTGAAATAAATCACCACCTATATTGATAAGGCCTCACACATGCAATTATATTTTTCTAGCAACACTGCATTTCCTTAGTGTTAACTCGAAGTTATTATCAAAAAACATCGTCAACAATCTGAGTACTCTCTTTTTAACTAAAGATGAAGTTGACACTGAAATATTCTGTCACCTCACGAACAGTTATGCAAGGTACATCTCGTGAACAGCTGTGCAGGACACACCCCGTATACTACCTTAATAAATTTCAAGTGAATGATTCAGACCTTCTTCCATAATCGTAGATGCATCCAACACCTTACATTTAGGTTCAATATCCGTGTTTGTGCCTCGTGATATTGTTGGTGAAGTCATTAACTGCTTTTCAGTTTTTTCATTCAGCAATATAGTTTGGGTTAAGTACGTATGTTGTGACTGTAGCATTTCGATGATAGCATCTTTCTCTTGGCTTCGACGTTCCAATTTACCACTTAGCAAATTCAACGCTGCTGTTGATTCAACGCACCTCATATATATATATTAAACTAAGTGATGAAGTAGCAAAGAATTAATCTTGAATCAGTTGATAATCCTGGTTTAAATTCAATGTTGGAAAATCATTTCGGATTCATTAGTTAATATTCAGTTAATTACATTGTCATGGAAATTTCGGTATTTTCTTATAAAAATTATATAAAAAGAAACAAAATTTTCATACAATCAGTAAATATTTTCGACAATCTACGACAGAAAAAAAAACTAATTACCTTGCCATCGATGAAGCCATATAAGAGTTGTAAAAAGTTAATACTAAATTCATAGGAATTTATTTGTAAGGATTGCAAGTAGTTCAAATCAAAAAATAATAGAGAAAGAATAATGAACTGAGATAGTGTATTTTAAAGCTTACAAATGTAACCATTTAATGAACCTTGACGAAATCCTACAAATAAAAAGGATACCTAAAGAATGCTTATAAAAAACAAACTTTATTTTTAATGCTTCATTCTCGTTCAAAATTTTTTGCATTTCGATATCCCTCTGCTGCATAGCCTCAGTCAATTTTTCCATTCGTACCCTCATCTCTATATTTACATTTTCATTAGCTGTAACATTTGCCGATTTTGCAGCCATCGATAAATCTTTTATTTCACTTTCTTTCTCCATAAATTCCATTTCTTGTTGTGTCTGTTGCAGTTGTGTTTGATGATGAGTGCCAGCATTTGAAGGCAAAGCATCCACATATTGTTCCGGAGAGAGCTGCAGCTGTAAGTGGAATCGACCACAATCCGTTTGCAGTTGTTTTGCATGCATCTGCAATTCTTGCAATTCAGCACTGCTTTTCGCCAGCAAATAAAAACCCAAATTAAAAGAAAAAAACCAAAACGACACATTGGCTCACAACTTCTACCTATGCTTGCAGTTGATCAGTGCGATCAGTCTTGCCCTAAAAGTTGATCAAAGCATAATCAGTTTTAACTGAAATGTATTAAAAGAGAATATGTAAAACATATGTCGTTAAACGGAGAAGGTTATAAAAGTTCTTTGTCTAACAGGTTTTTTAGTTTGTTACTAGGGGTTGTGGTCTTTCGTCAGGTTATAATCCTAGAAATATGAAATAAGTAATCAAGAAATTAAAAGAAAAATCATTAAAGACAAAAAAAACCTCATTCTTATCGTTTTCAGATCTTAAATCCGACAATTCGAGCTTTTCAGAACATATGCCTTCAAGCTTGGCCTTCAGTGATTGAATCAAAACATCTTTTGAATTGTTTAAAGTACATAGAAGAGTCAATTCACGATCCATGAAATCTCGTTGCCTTTGCAGGCCGATAATTTGTGCCTCGTGCCGACCCACATGTTGCTCTCCATCATTGCTTTTTAACGCTGAAGATGTAACTACAGCTCTTTTGTCGGCTTGCAGTTGGCGAATAACTGCTTTGAATTTCCGTTTTTCTGTCTGAAATCCCAGTGCTGGATTAAAAATAAAGAATTAGTAGAGCCACAAAAATATTATATTTTAAATAATTCTGAAACTACAAATTATTCCTGAAGTTACTACGAAATCACTCCTCTGGCACTAAATTTTGTTATTGTTGCGTTTACTGTCTTTTGATTCTACAGAACCTCCATTTGCTTTTTTTACTTTTAATGATGGCTATCTCCACTACGAACACTGTGTACAAAAAAATGGAGATTTCAAACGCTCTAACCATAACGTAATGTAATGTGGAACGGGATTATTGCTTCACATTATTTCTAATCGAACGAACATTGCTGACCTTATCAAATTCAAGCTGTTTGGCTTGCTTATCGACAGTATTCTTTAAGTCACTGATTGTATTTATCATTTCCTTAAGCTTGTTAGTAGTATTTTGCTCTCCACCAGCAACTGATTCTGCATTCGAAGTCTTCCGCGACATATCTTCTTTCCGTTCCAGCAGTATTGTTCGTACTTCAGCCCATTTTGACTTCATTGCTGCTTTTTCATCATTTAACTAAAAAAAAAAATGCTAAAACATTAATAAAATGGATAACGATATTGCCGATCAATATTATAGCGTATACTGCTGGTGTCTTAATGGTATAATCGCCTAACAATTATTCTAACATACACATCACGTGGTAGGAGCTAACTGTCCAACTGAGTGATACCAGTGGACTACCGATCAGCGTATTAGGCACTGCTGAACGAATATAGAGGGTATCAGTGATTAACTTGAAAGTCGAACGTTGTTCATAAGAAATTATTCGAGTTTTTGAGTTTCTGGCACATTCACCAAAATAAGTTTACCAAATAAAATTATTCAGATTTTTATGAAGAAAATATTCCCGTATTACATACAATTTTTGGCTGCTGCTGTAATTCATTAAAGATGATGGAAAAGATACTCAACAAAGACAAAATAATAAATTGCTAGTATTATGAAAAATAAACGAAACTAAAATAATTTCCAGTTTGTCTTCCGTCATTCTAACGCAAAAAATCAGAATTCTTTAATGGAATTCATCGTCGGATCTCAAGATTTTGTAGTTCGAAATTCATCGCCGAAACTTAAATCTAAAAAATCACCTGCTTTTCTAACATTCGTATTTCCTTATGTACAGCTTCCATTTCGTCTACAGCAAGTCGCCACAGTTTTATTTCTTCATTCCGTTTATTATTCCCGGTCATCCTAGCATTTAACTGCTCATTTTTCAAAACTAGTTCTTCCTTAAGATCATTCACTTCTTTGAACTGAAAAAAAAATGCTCGAGTCGTAACTGACATATGAGAAAATAACTTACCACATGTAAATGAATCAATAATTTCAATTATATTGATATAATTATCACAACTAATTTTCAAATATGAACGAAAATTTTTCATATGATTGAAATTGGTTTAATCATGTAACATACATTATTACACGCAAAAATTTATAAGAAATCAACTCCAACATATTGAAGAAACTGTTCTTTCATTGTTCTATGATTGCAAATTGTTATTATCCTACCATACTTATAAGATATACTCAAGAAACAGTACTTCAAAACCCTATTTCACTTTTCAATTTCTATTTTCCAAAAACCCTGAATAAGATCGTCGCATTTCTTACTTTAACTAAGAATTCTGATTGCAATGATTTCTGGTATTTCTCTTGCTGTGCACAATTTCGACGAGCTTCTTCAGCTTGTTCTTCAGCTTGCCGTGCTCGTATTTCAGCTTCCTCCAACTTTTCTCTAGCATCTTTCAATTGATGCTCCAATTCAAAATTAACGTAGCCCATATAAACAATCTTCTCTTGCACCAACGAGTATTCTTCACGAGCTATATCCAGCTCAGCTCGCATATTATTTACCAGCTTCTTGTCATACTGATGCTCTGAAATATTCCCACTACAATTAAAGATAATGTGTCCACGGCAAAACAGCCTCGCTAATAAAAAATAACAGTAATTCTAACAAGGGATCAACTAACTCTCCAAAATTTAAATGGTATTTGAAGCGAAATTTAAAATTCATGAATTCAATTTGGGAAATGGATGAATTATTGAAGCAGAAAATTACCATATGCAGTTGCGACATTTTCTGACATTGGCCATTGCAAAACTTCCGTAGCTGCCTGCCTTCCATCATTTCGTCGCTTTAAAAAGGATTACTAAAATCTATTAAAACCTATGTATAACTATGGCTGGATGAAATGTGGAAACCAAAAAGAGTTAGGATAAACAAGAGAAATATTAATATTGTATTTATCACAGGATTCCTCTAGATTTGAAAAACTTCCAAAAAAAATACCACTTGCATCATCATGTGAGTGTGTACTGGTTTGAAAGCGCTTCCTGAATTCACCACATTTGAAATAATTTCTATTGCAGCAGGAGTAACAGTAGCAGTAGAAGAGGCAACAACAGAGGCAGTAGAAACATTTTCACCTAACTGGATTAGTTGAGACTCAAGTTCATCATTTCGACTTATCAGGACGGTCCTTTCTGCTTCCAGTAAACTGATTTTCAAACTTAAAGCCTTTATGTGCAATTTTTCATCTGAAACTGGAAGATATCGGAGAAAAGACACAAATAAAAGAAAAATCCAATAAAAACTTAAAATATTTTGTCGGGATTCCTTGGGATTGCAAAGGAACTCCCATTAACTGAAATTTCATCATGAAAATTTATTGGAGGAAGCAATGCAAATAAAACTTTTGATGGTTCGACAAGCCAAACCATTTCTCTATCCCAAGTCCTTTCCTACCCATACCCACACTTCTTCCTTTTTTAAACCTTCACGTTCAATACAGATAATCGGTCACTTATTTAAAAGAAATAAAACTAGATAAGAATTGGTCGTTTCTTGAATACAAAATGGCCTCCTTTTGGCTTTTCCCGATTTTATTTGTGGAACGTATCAGCAACAAGCAGATTTTGCTGAATTCATCTTCACACTTAATGGGGGAATGTTTATTTCTTTCTTTTTTGAAAAATATCTTTCAAATAAAAAAAATCTTTCCTTCCTCATTGACATATTTCAAGTTAATTTTTTCATTCTCACAACGAGTTCTCGATGTTTTTCTTTCAAATAAACCACCGACAAGTAAAGATTTACTGTCTAGATATCGCGGTTGTGCAGTTCGCTTGGCAATGTCCAGTGTATAAATTTAGAAGATTACTTGCTCAATGTTCACTTTGAACAAATGTCAAATTCATTCCAAACCTAAATCTTTTCACGCCTATAGGTATAGCCCTACTTTATGTGTACTATAAAGCTTCAAATTATTTTCAAAGATTCTTTATTTTTGAAATCCCTCAAAAACCGTCTTTTTTGCTAAACGATACTTTGTGGGCAACACACAACGTTTTTCTCTCGCAAACCAGTTGCTGTTGCAATTTCATCGGCAGTGAATAAATCGCTCCATTTCTGCTCTCTTCTCCTTTTTTCTCCGATTGTCCCCTACCCTTCCAATATTTTATCATTGTATCTTCTCGACTGTCCTGGAAAACTTCATCGCCTCTTCCCATAGAAATTTGCTACTTCCAGAATTCGAATTTATGGATATTTTGGTACACTTTAGAAATCCCATTATCTAATTTTTTTATCGACTTATCTATCAAAGAGAATGATGACGAATTACTCGCTGCTTGACTCAAAGTGCAAGAAGTAAGGAGGGGTTAATTTTACTCTTCGACTCCTTTACTTTTGACAGAAAAACTGTCGCTTCTTTAAGGATATCCTTGTTTTGGAAGGGTAAAATTGAAAGACGATACATTTCCTTATTGGTTTGATTGCCAGACCAAGTTTAGGGTCAACTGTGTGTATCTTCTCGTTCAGTGCATCTTTCCAACTACTCAGTGGAAAAACTGATATAATTTTTGGATGAATAATGGAAGGAATTAGAAAGAATTGCTGTCTTCTGCACACTCATATTGACGTATATTGCTCCATTATCTAGCTACCAAATTCGTTTTTGTTCACTGAATTATTTTATTTCAGTAACAGATTCCTCGACCCCAAATTCTTAAAAAGAAAATCACCGAGATTAGAAATTCAAGATTTTTAGGTTCTGAGTCATTCGCAACCTGCATTAAAAAAATTCATCACTTCTATGATCTTTAAAGAAACGGGAACTCGACTATTTCTTTTTCTATTCTCAGGTCCTAAAACTTTTCGAAATGTAGGAAATATCCAGAAAACTTAAAATTCATTAAACATGAGATTCCGAACAGTCCAGAAAATGACAAACCCTTAAGATTCAGAATTACAACTATAATTCACTCTTTGTATGGCTTTTAGTGAGATATATCAAATTCCACTTAGTTATTTCTAAATCTTTCTCTTTCCCTTGTGTGCTACACATATCGAGCGTAATGCAAATAAAATGAGCTTATCAAATTTTCGATTATAATGACTCTCCGCCAGACTAGATGATTGATTGACTGATTGTATTGTTCATGATGCTGGAATCGATCCAACAAATTTTCCCCATATCTTTATCTCTTCATGTTCAGCTTATTCCATGAATATCATTTGCATTGTACAACACTTTTCTCATTTCTGGTTGTCTGATTTAACGATTAGTCACAATGTGTCGTATTAATCATCTTTTGTTATAACGCTTTAGAAGAATGCATCTATCTCTTCTCAATTGTAAAATGAAACAGCACCAGCGTTACGTTGATTTTTATCCAACTTTTGGACGGAAATACAGAAAAAGTAATTCTCTGACAAACGATTCAAATTTAAGATGAACAATAACAAAACCTCTCGACTTTTCGTCTACTGATTTCCTATCAGACTACTAGATCGGGTCTTTGGAATTCAAATAAAAGTAAACTTAATGTTTTCTTATCCATTTATATGATACTGTGAAGTGATGACATGACGATTATTATCATATTTTCAGCGATAGTGGAGGACATTTTACCTTCCCGTCCCCCACTTCCCCACTTCCTTTCGAATTATCCATTTAACCTTTCGGATGACAGTGCCCAAATCGTATCTTTCATTACGCTATGTTCTACAATCAACGTATGAAAACACAACATTCCCATTAAAACGTACCGATGAGTTCACGGAGCTATTTGCTAAGTTAATTACTTCTGCATCTAATCATATCTCAATTCTTGTAAACAAGGATGTACCTCACGTTTCATTTAATCAAACTTCTTTCTTTCATCCCTCATCTACATTAGCTAGAAATACTCTTCGAATCTTGAATAGAGATTGCAGTTGCGTGATTAAACATTAAAGTATTTAGCCTTTAAGACTGATACTTCACTGCACGACGTTAGCGACAGTAGTTCTACTGAAACTGCTATTAATTTATTGATATTATTGCCAACCCAGCGATCACTGACAGTTATCCAGTAAATATTAAGCGGTCGAATGGTAGCAGAAAGTGCGACTATTCGAAGGAAACTTAGTTAAAGTGCTCTGGATTTGACCTCTACATCAAACTACAACGAAATTTTACTTTTTACTGGTTCCTTCTACTGTTATCGAAAGTGTTCCATTCTGGATGTTTCAAGTCTTTTCTCATTCCCATTCCTTTTTTCACAACACCACTAAATCTTAAATTTGCAAAATTTTTGATGCGAAAGCTACTCAGACTTTTTAACGACGGCGATTACTACCGTAACGTTTTACGGCTATGGCAGTCTGTCCATTATGTAAAGTTGATAGCGTGAAGAAACGATTAACATGGCGTGGTTTGCTACACGGTATACTGTGTTTTCCATGTGGTATCTATTGCTGCATGAAAAGCCGTGTATGGTTTTGTCCACTATGTACCAACGAGGTAAAGGTCATTATTAGTGGTATATATGATCGAACAAAAGGAGTATAATCATCTTGATCTGAGTTGGGTCTTCCAAACCATTTAAACGTCCAGCATTTCGAGGATTTAATTTCGTTAATTCGCCCACATTCCAAAAAGATAAGGTCTATAAATTCCAACAGAGATAATAATAAACCGAGATAGAAGGAGGTTACTGAAAATCACCTGCAAATTTACATAGCAAAATTATGAATTTAGAGTTCTAGTCTTTAGAAAATATTTTAGGTCAACTATTCGGATGGAAGAGAACCATCGTTTGGTCGGGATTATCGCTGCTACAGGTCATTTGAGAAAGTGGGCCACACTGTTACTGGAAATGACCAAGAGCACCGATAAGTCAAACTACTGCAAGTTGTGAAAGACAATTTCTGGCGGCAGCAAAATCTATCAATTCTACAACACTGGTGCTGAAGCAGTAACTTTTACTTATTGTTTGTTCAACTATCCGCTACATAATTTATTTCTCACGTCAAAAATATAAGCAATTTGCAAGCTCATTTACTTTTATTAATCCCGTTGTAAATTTTTATTCATTTCATGGTTATCTTCAAGAATTGTCAGTTTCTAATATTTCTTCATGAAAAACTTGGAATAGAGCTTGGTATTTTGTTCGTTAGAACTTGAAAGGAAACGATTCATTTTTTATACAGGAAAATGTAAATAAAAAATTCCCGTTCTCCAATATTTTGAAAACAGTGCTTAATGAAAATGGTGCTTGGTGACGCTCATTTTCTCATTCGGCTAATTTGTCGGCTAATTTATTTCTACTAGTTATTTAAACTTAAATTTGGATTTAGTTACTAGTTATTGTTACCCTATTCTCACTAATGTTTCACACGATATGGTTTTATATCTTTTTATCCTATAATTTCCTCAAATTTAATGTAAATTTTCCCACCTGACAAGCATAGCTATGTTTGGATTCACTAAAAAAGTATAAAGCAATGGTAGAAAACTACAATAATTACTGCTAATTATGTGAAGATGTGTTTAGATATTTTTTTTTTCATTTTTCTCAAAACCAGATATTTAAATTTTGTTGGTTGAGTATGAGAGCCCCTTATCTTCGTTCACTGTACTATGCATCAAATATTCCTGTTCCACTTCTTCATTTTGCTTGATTCTGACCAGTGCTTGAGGAAAAACTTGAACTTTTTCTTTTCTCATTTGGAAATCGAAAAATGACTTGATAAAATATGTTATTCAAAGCTTTGTATTGAAAAAACGGAGTGACGGCGTCCCTCTTAGCAAAAAGAAGTTAGAACACGTCGAAAGACTGTTTAGAATGTTGAGAATGTGAGTGTGAAAAATGTGAATGTGAAATGAATGTGAAAAAAAAAGAATGTGAATGTGTTTAGAATGTGAAATCAAATCCTTGATAACTTTCACTTTACATATAGGATGTTTGACATGAAGGTAGATGCTTATTTTTCTATATGCCGTAAAAATTTAGAATTTTTGAGGTCTTTCTCAATTTCCATTCACTAAATCATGGCAGTTCTAATTTCCCGGTATTAACACAATTTTCAAAGGATGTTCTGAAATGAACAAAAGGGTAGTTGCAGGCAGTAGCTAAAGAAGAAAAAAACCATAACTACGTATTCAAGGATTTCTTTTAGCGCTCAAGAAGTTAAGACCTCTCTGCAAATCTTTTGCCGTTCTCATTTTTAAGAGTTAGTTGATGCACTTCGAATTTGATAGCATAAAAAGTTTGACTTGCCATTGCTTCTTCGATTCATTTGTTCTTTTTCTCGTTCTAGCGCCCTCAGTTTTGCTTCATAAGCTTTCGATCTTATCAGCGCTTTTCGCTCCGCTTTTGAAGTACCAAGAGAATCTCTTAGCAAACCAACATGCTCTTCGTATATCACTGTATCTTTTTCCAGTAATTCAATGTACTGATCCTGAGCCTCCAAAGCTTCTGGAAAAAACTGAATATTAAGTTTCGTAAAATTAGAAGTAAAAGAGGAACAAGACTAACGGAACTAAATGGCTGATAGTTTTCACTCTGTTCATATCTTTAATTAATTTAACTACCAATCATAGCAGAGTCATATACCTTTCAATCGTTCAACATCATCAAGAACGGATATTTTCTGTTCTAGTAGAATATTCGCTGTTTGTTGTGCTTCTTCTAAATCATCAGCCAATTGAACAATCAAAACTCGATCGTTATCCAATTTTGAACGAAGTTTCTTGTTTTCTTCTTGCCTTGCACCCATTGTTTCCCACGCGTCACTCAGCTTTTGTCTGAAATCCATTTGAAATTTATTAAAAAAGAGAAAATCTATTGGAAGCATAAATGTTTTGGTGGAAACAATTAGAATGAATGAAGAAGCCAACGAATGGATTGTCTGTGAAATTCTATTCTAAAACAGAATATTATTTAAGGCTTCTTTTGCTACGAAGCGATGCATTTTGGCCATAAATTCTTCGGTATAGTCAATTATGGTAACTATGCTTGCATTAATACTTGGACAAATACTTGTAAGAATCAAGAAGTTTCAGCAGGCGAGCATTTTCTTCCAATGTCCATTCACGATCCGCTCTAAGTGTCTCAATGTTTGCATTCAAATGCTCAATCTAAAACACTGGCTATTAATTTTGAATACTTGCCTTTGGAAGTGTTACATGTTTGGATGATGCCGAGACCTCAAGCCTTTGTTATTTCACACTTTTGCTAGTTTACTTCCGTCAAATTAATGCGGCTTTCAAAAGATCTTAAAGTCTTGCTTTAAAAGAAATTTTATAAAAAGTGACCTTGTTGGTGTGTCCTGTGTTCATCGCAGAAATTTTATCCTCCAAATCACGAATTTTTCCCTGCATAGAGGCGCGAGCTTTCAGCACTTGATTCCGGCAATCCCGACGCATTTCATCTAATTGTGTGTGGAGCTGAATATTGAATCGATATTGGAAATCACATGAATAATAATAATATATCTTCAAACTCAACTGTACTACACAAGAAATTGGGAACTCAAATGCTTCAACGATTTATATTTAATTAACTAAATGTAACGAACCAACAGTACAAACTTGAAAATTCAACAAACTATATATATATATGCTTAATTTAAGAGAAGCTACACCCTAATGCATTGCAAAACTTTAAGCTAAAAAGGTTAGCAACATAATTGGTGGAAAGAGCTAGGAAAGAAGATACCAATCGATATTTTCGGAAGTAAATACCAACCGCTGGTTACAACAACGCAAAACAATTCAAAAAAGTTCATTAAAACGAGGTAGTTTATAAAGTATGAAATTTGAATAATTGGGACTATGGCATAAATGAAATCTTTTTACCAACGGAAAGTGAAACAGCCCCGCTCTGCTGGAGTGGCCCGGCTCTGTGCAATACAACATAATGGAAGTGAGGATGAAAGTGACACAGAGGTCATCGGCTATTCAAAAAGTTTCAGAACCAATGCAAGAAAGTTGTCAGATTCGAAGGGTGAATAACCTGGCTCAAATGATTCTGTGAATTACTGGCGCACTTTTCCATCTCCTGGATTGTTTGTCGCAACTGGTCATTTTCAGCTGTTACATCGATGAATGCTTGCATAATGTCATCGCCCTCTTCTTGACCATTATCTGAAATTAGTCATCAGAGAATTCCTAAATAATTTCGTGAATGTAACCCACGTTTTCAAATAAAAAATTGGTAAAAATTCCAATTTTGAACATCCTTGGAAAGTAAATTTTTTAATTCAAGTAAATGCTTACCAATTCCGAGTTCTTTACGAGGTGGTAAATCGAAAGTCACCTTCTTCCTGTGCTTCTTTTTGTACAAAGAAGATGCATTGCCTACATCGTTAGCATCAAGGTCGTCCTGAATCTTGCCGTCATCCTCGATTATTGAACTATATTCCTCACTTGGATCAACTGGTGGAGGTGAACCTGAGCTACCTGGACAAAATCTTTTTCAAATATCTTGTATGGTGACCTTTAAGTTTTTCATCACAAAGTTAAGCCTAAAAACCTATTGGCCTCCGAAATTTCCGTGTAGGAAATTCCCAGACTATTGGAAAACCTTTAATCTGATCCAAACAAATAGAAATTCCCAACAACTGACCCATTTTGAAATGTACAACAGCATGTCCAGGTAAAATGGAATCGTTTTGATGTCGTTGATCTTTCTGTTGTTGTTGTTGTAATGACGACAATGGACTAAATGAGGATTCAAAAACATACCCTGCGTCGGTTTCCGTAGAATCTTCGCGTGTCGTCCGTGTACCCAAATCCTAAAACCTAGGCACTTCTGGAAGAAAGCACAAAGATCACCAGCTAGATATTGGAAAAACAGCCAGATATTATTGTAAGGAAAATTGCTTTTATGCCAATGAACATATTTTGTAGTCTGTCGAAAATTGGTAAAGTATAGATTACCAGTCTAGAACGGCGGGTCCCGCATCGCAAGTCTTTGCTGCTTCAAAATGAACTCCTAGATCAGTTATGATAAGAACACATTTGTATAACGACTGTCATGAATTATCTACTAGCATTTTAAAAATACCAGTAGTTTTTGCTGTATTATATGGAAGGCTCTGGCTTTCGCTTGCATAAGCTCTCCCTGTTCGTGACACATTTCTTGCAATTCAATAATATGCCCTTCCTTTTCAAGTATTATATCACTTAATTCCATTATTTTCATATCCTGCAAAAGCCTATTGTCATTTATTCCTGAACCAAAAGAAAAAACCAGTGGAGATTGTATTTCCATTCCAAATTAAAGTTCGCGCAATTTATTTAATATAAATATCACCTGTCCGAAGGGATAATGGATCCATCCTCCATCTGCTTGAAGGGTCGTCGTGAGTGGTCGTAGGATCTTTAGAGTCATTGCTATCCGGGATAAAATTTTTGTCCAGGCTCCGTATTTATGTAGAAAATATAAAATAGTTGATTTCACTGACCTTTTCGATCAGTTGTGAGTGAATGCGCTCTAGGTCTCGACCAATGATGCTGTCAACTTCAGCGCGAGAGAGTTCACTGATCGGACGACGATCGGTCGCTGACTGTAACTGTTCCTCAAGGTTCTACAAGGTTAGTGCGTTATTTCTTGTTGTTGAAACTTATGATAAATATATTTATGAAAACCTATTCGCGATCTCTATATTATATCTTCGATCTTGATCTTTCATGATAACGGCGGAGGAATGTAAGTGAAACTTCAAGGCTCTTAAAAAATATTTAAGGACCTCAAGAACTCTTAATGCCATATTAATAAAACCAGTGTAAATGTTCAACAAATAGATAATAGCTGATTTTTTACCGTCCAAACTGTGAATACTTTTAACTGTCGAAGCTACTGAGAAATTTTTTCCTTCCTACAAAGATAATAGCATTTAAATTGATAGGAATTTCTGATGAAAGGCATCTGAAAATCCTGAGCCTTAAAAATTAAGATTGCAGAGCTACAACAACAATACTACTAAGGTTTAGCATACCTCCGCTGTTTGCAAGATTCTCTTAATTTGTTGTTCAAAAAAAGAAATTAGAGTTTTAATATAAACATGAAATGGGACGAGCTACAATAATGAAAGGATTAAGGAGTTTCTTCGGAATAAAAGCTAATTAACAGAGAAAATTTGATAGAAGCAAGAGAGCTTAATGGCGGGAAAGGAAATACACTGACCCTAATTTTGATGGCATAATCATTCAATCTGATGACTTTATCGCTCAGGCGTTCCTGCGCTTCTTCCTTTCTTCTGCTTTCATCCTGTAGCTTATGAGCCAGTTTTAGAACATGTTCTTCCAACGTCTGCAAATTTCTATGACAACTGTTTGAAAATCAAAAGCTTTCAGGGGAAAACATCACTTTACTGGATGAATTACCTTCGGTACACTCAGCTTCTTTAGCAAAATAATCCTTTTATATGCTATATAAGTGAAATTTTGCTTTCAATAAAATAGGACAAATCAAAATCTCGGTTGAAGCTCCATTATTTCTTAGCAGAATGACTTAACTGCAAGATGATAGTAAGAATTGATTTCCACAAATTTGCAAGATTTAGCAATTCGGCTTTTCATTGCAGAGTTAAGTAGTTCAAGTAATGGAAGTTAAGTTTAAATGATGATCTTAACTAGCAACTGGAATAACAGTCGGGATTCCGATACCTTAATTTCGTCTGCTTTCCGATTCAGTTGTTCGTTGTAGGCTACACATTGCAAGCAAGTGCTTATTGCTGTCATGCTATTTGTTGGTCGTAATATAGAACGTTAGAGTTTAATAGATCAAAGAAAGCAGGATTATTTACAACATGTTTTAGTTATAGTGTACTTGATATCACTCCTGGAAGTACGAAAATCCTTCAAATTTCGCAAAGCACACAAGGATCCAAGTAATCGACAATTAAACAACTTCACAATAGGATCAGTTTATTCCTTCACATTATTGCACTGTTTGGTGCGCTTCGATCTTG